GTCCTTGGAGATCAAAACCCCGTTTAAATAGGGTTTGTCTACTTTCGTCTATTGCCGAACATTCTATAATCAAGGATTTTTACAAATCCTTGCTATAATCATGGAAGTAATATTTAAAAGGAATAACAACGACTAATTAGCATGTATTAACAGCCTGCAGAGCTCTGTACTAAAGTCATATGATTTTATCCAATTATAGTCTCAGCGGCAAGACCCCTTTGGTTACTATCTGTGATACCGCGGTTGTAAAATGGCATCTGGAATTTCTTATCAGTCACGTGATTTTATCGAGTCCGGTAATTATAAAGCACCTGTGTGAAATCCGAGGTTTATTAATAAGAAGGTGGCGCTGTATCATATAAAACCTCTACCTTCAGAAAGAAGTTGTATGATGTAAAAAACTTGAAAAACGGACGAGAATTGTTCAACCTACAACAGTTTAGCTTGGAAAATTGTATTTAATTAAGCATATTTTTGCTTTTTACCGTTTGTTTTAAACTGTTCTAAAAGTATTTTCCGGTTAAAAGCGGATCCCGAGTAAAACAGTTAAATACCGATGAATCGATCAGGTTTCACATGATGTTGAACAAAATAATGTAGACAGATGTAGACATAGAATATTTTACTGTTGAAATGTGCCAAGTATATCGAGATTTATAAAAATATTTACTTTCAAGTAATTGATTACGTTATTGAAACTGGACAATGAAAATCGGGATCAAAAGTTCGTAAACATGTTAAATTTATATCTATTTTAAAAAAGTGTTTACAATTGAATACTAATATTAATGTAGCACGTTACAGCAAAAAGAAAATCAACCATACAATACGAGCTAGACGCTATCTGTCTAACCGCAAATTTTTTTATATGAATTTGTTTATGTACAAATTAAAGAATAGAAACGTTTAAAATTGTGAATATTTAATTTGCCTGGTATACACGGAGGACTTGGATTATTCGTATTTAATAAAAGGGGGTCGAAACATATTTTTTGTACAATCATCTTCTTAACTTTCAGAAATGTCTTCTTAATTAACTGCATGGTTTTAAGTATTAAAATTGAAAATGATCCACCCTTTTTCTTAAATTCAATATGTGATAACTGTCGGCCTAAACTATTAAGATCGAAAAAGACATAAATAGGAAAAATAGACTAAAATCAACATTGAATGACTGACTCTATTCGGTAGCGTACAGCAGCGGAATGTAACGAGTGAACTATTCGGGTTACTTCGTACGTACATACGACAACAACTGGTCTATTCGTAATTTTCCGGGAACACGAAAATGACCGAAAAGTGTCAGTGATTTGATCTATCACATGTCGAGAGTCAATTACCATGCCATATATTTAACCAATTAACGAGTTATCGAAAGATGGGCGGTAACGCAGATGAAACCTTTGAAGTGACGACGATGTTATTCCTTTCAATATTACTTCCATGCTATAATATAACGAATCGCGTCGCCAATATCACCACAATTACATAAAGTACAAATACAATCTTTTCCTTAATATTTGGCATCTAACAATTACAATAGGAAATTTTGAGTCGAAACTGAAGTACCAAATCTACAAGAAGAATCACTATTTTTTGTAGTAGTAGGCGTTGAAAACTAAACTGTTTATAATCTTTTTTTTTCTCCTAAATTAATTGAAACTCCTGAAATAATTTAACATTATCTATAGACAGCTTACATATGCAAATCTTTTTAGAAGTATGTGAGTGTATAGTAATAATTTGTTCATTTACCCCCCTTTTTCCTTCTATAAAATTACATTGTAATTACGATTTTATTTCCAAATTTGTGTTTGCTAGGATTGACACTTAGAACGTACAACAAAAAGTAACAAGTAAAAAGTCACGATTCAATTTTGGGATATTTTTTTCTTTGAATAAACTTAATTTTAAAAACGTTTCAGTATTTTCTGAAACATTTTTAAAAGGAAACGGACTTGTAAACAAAATTTATTTTTGAATATTAATATGAACAATGATTGTTAAGAAAACAATCTGCCAAAGTGGTTTGGTAATTAACTGAAGTCATGCTGTCAAAAATGTCTCCTTTTTATAAGTTATTGATAAAAAAAAAACTATTTGAAGGCGAATTAATCATTTCCTCAACTAAATACATTTATCTATAAATAAAGTCAATTCGTCAAGAACTTTTTCTCATATATTTAAACAATTGTAAAATAATTAATTTAAACCTTTGTCCTGCGACTTTCTGTCCGTTTACCAATACTTATTCCTTGTTAAGTTTTTTCATATCCATTTACGAATACTTATAACGTGATAATAAATTTTTCCGGATGCTTTTTATCCTATTTTCATATCAAACAACCATGTTACCCGTAGAACGGAGTTAAGTACAAATTTAGGAATTTAGTACTTAAAATTTTCAACAACAAAATTTTACACTTTCATTTACCTGGATTTTTTTCTACGCTTCGAAGCCGCCACCCTGTATCAAACTTATCCAACACCTCGCATGGCGTATTCACGATGTGGAGGGATTGACAATATACAATCAAAGTTAGCAATATACAGCAAGTAAGTAATTGGGTGTTGAATGCCAGTAGATCTGAATTTGTAAATTTTTAAATTGAATTTAACCTGTTTAGAACGTGTATTGTTGAATTGTTCAATAAAATTACACACATAATCTGGGCTGATATGCATAAAACCATTTTAAGTTCAAGGTATCAATAAAACTGGGTCTGCATGAAAAAATGACATCACATAATACCAGAACCTATGTTTAGCCTACTGTTACACGATAAGAAAATATAGCTGTAGGCCTAGTTGAAAATCTTTACAAATTATTTATTCTTTTAATTTCTGTTTGACTGTCTGGGTGCTTCTTATGTGTTTTAAATGCTATAGTCAAGTTTTATAGACTGTTGTACGTCATTTGGTCGTTTTTAAGTTTTTGCCATGGCGTTTGTCAGTATGTCTTCGACTTATAAGTTTTATCAAGGCTTTGTATAGTGAGATTGGTTTTATATAATCTGCATCTCTTGTGCTGTATTTTAAAATGTATTACAATTGTTGCATCTTTACGCATTCATCAATACACCAAAAAATATGAATAAAGCTTTCGTATATATATAAATAAGGAGATGTGGTACGATTGGTAATGAAACAACTATCCGCCAGTTCAATTCAAAAACCTGATATAAGCAAATGTGACTTACTTACTTTAGTCAGAGAGATATTGAATCTGAATTCGAGGATACGAAGTGGGAAGGGTTTAGAGGTGGATTAAGGTGAGGGCATGGGGGCCCGCCCCTTTTTTGGAAAAAAAAATTTGGTTGATTATTTAGAGAATCACTGAAGCGGGCCCCCTCTTTATGCATGACAGTTAGTGCCTCCTTATGACATTTTTTGGATCCGCAACTGGTGAGGACTTCATAAAAAAATATTTAGTAAGTTTTTGTTTTGTGATAAATAATGTATTTAGACAGAAATAGGATAAAATAAACTACCGAAAGCTTAAGTCCACATAACAGGGTATGGATGGGGGTTAACAGAATAGAGAATAACGGGCAAACAATAAAGATTAAAGAATAATGAAATGCTAAAATATAAGGGAAGAGAGTAATGAGCAAAAAGTGTAAGTTTGTAGAAATATAGCAAAAAAAAATAAAGAACACAGAAAGAGAAACCCCGCCCCCCCTCCCTCCCCCCCCCCCCCCCCCCAAGATCCTGACTTCAACTTTAACACTGCCGGGATATTTTTTAGACAAAGTGCACGTATTAGTAGTCAGCCGAAACCACTAAGCGTTTTGCATCCATACTTTTTTTTTGGGATACTGACTGCATAGTAAAATATCAATGTACTAGTTAATGTTCTCGAGGGATGACCCTATCACAGAGACATATATACACATATGTGTAAATATGTCTCTGCCCTATTACGTGTCAGTAACCTCCTCGACACGGTTCATTTTTACGGCGGCTCAGTTTTGTCTTAAGAATAAACATAATTGATAAGTTTCTTTCCCCTGCATTTCTCGATCGCACTTGTAAATAGCACATTGGTCTCAAGACATTGGTTACAACACTTGCCGTCAGTACTCAAAATTGGAAAAATATTTAATAAGAAGGTATAGAAAATTAAATTAATGCACACACACTATTATCAACCACAGACATGATGTTTTTCTCAATTTGCATAAATCGTTATTCCGCAATACAACGAGGGTGAACACCCACCACTTTGAACACAGTCACAGGCACCGGCATGCTGTGAACTTGTAAGTTTCCCAAATGAGTAACTATCCATTACTTTTCTAGTGTAAAGTTTTATTTAATACACATTTGATTTGAAATGGCATATCAGAGATATATATAAACATATATCATAGGCTGATCCGGGGAGGGGGGGCTTTCTTGGGAAAAATTTGGTTGATTATATAGGGATCACTGAAGCATGACTGGAGCCGGCCCTCCCTTATGAAAAGTTCTGGATCTGCCACTGTATATTCATAAAATAAACCAACAAATTATCCAAAAGATGAATAATACTTAATACTTACGACTAATATTGATTATAAGTATACTTGAGTCGGTTTTACAAAAAAAAAACTTACAATTTATCGTAAGTATACTGTATTGTACATGACTTAATTACTATCAATATTATTTGTAAGTTTTTTTGTGAAACTGACTGCTGAATTGTTTTTCCATGCTTATGGTACATCTAAGTCGTATGCTTTTTTTAAAACCACCTCCAGGGTATAATGTCTGCTCGCCCATAGAATCTGTTTGTAGATATAGGAAGATGTGGTATGAGTGCCAATGAGACAACTCTCCATCAAAGTCACACAATTTATAAAAGTAAACCATTATAGGTCAAGGTATGGTCTTCAACACAGAGCCTAGTTTTTATCAAAAATGAAATATATTGATATTAATAGTATACAGGTTAAATAATTTATTCATACATTTTTAATTGACTGACTAGAATTATCATGATCATTGAGGAATTTAAACCATTCCTATTTTTAAAAGGGGACAAAAATAAAATTTATATATAATAACAGGGTGATACAAATGAGAAAAACTCAAGAAATTGTTTTCAATTAAGATAAATACATGGTTTTCAGTTGTTTTTAAAGCAGAGGCAGATTTAGTTTAAAGTTGGAAAAAATTGTTTGTACCAACAAAAATAAATACACAAAGTTAATCCAGAATTATGTGTTTATCATTTTTTTTTATGTTTAGGTTGCCAGAAAGATGAAAAGAACAAAGCAGTTCAAAAGTCAAAATGTGGATAAGCTGAGGTACAAGGTCCTACTTTTGCAGATTTTCATATTTTGCATGAATGAATTTGAAGTTTATATCATGGAGGGCAGAGAAAGAAAAGAAACACTTCAGTTTTCCTGCTTCTGAAGGATAAATGTAAAACATCTTGTTTGGTAAGTTTTATGCTCTGTTATGATAGTGTTTGTGCATCCATCTGTCTTTCTCTAAATTGTATTCACTTAAAGCTTTTGGTTACAGTTCACCATGAACTTCAGTTAGTAACTTGCGGTTTTACAGTTTATACTCAAAATTTAGTACTTTAAAATGTTCATGTATTTTTGTTGAGCCTGCAACTTTTGTCGCAGAAAGCTCGACATAGGGATAGTGATCCAGTGGCGGCTACAGCAGTGGCGTTAGCACGGGGGGTCTCTTCCTATATTAAGGTATATACATATGTGCCTCTGGAATGGGTCCCTATTTTGATGCATCAAATATATCAATGGGGTGCAATTTTACCGAGGAAATATATCAATGGGTCATAATTTTTCAGTTTGTTGTGCAACTATCTTCACTTAATGGGATATGATTTCGCTGTGAAATATATGTATAGGTAGGGATTTCACAATTATTCAATATATGAATGGGGGGTGTTTTTTAAATTCCAGCTGCACAACTGTACTGTACCCAAAATCCCATGTTGAGACCCCCCCCCCCTTGGGCGTTAGCTAACTTCCTAAAAGCTTTATATTTTAGAAGGTGGAAGACCTGGATGCTTCATACTTTGTATATAGATGCCTCATGATACGAATTCTGTCTGAAACATGTCCATTGTCCTTGACCTCATTTTCATGGTTCAGTGACTACTTGAAAAAAAAGTTCAGATTTTTTGTAATGTTAATTTCTCTCATATTATGAGTAATAGGATAACTATATTTGGTATGTGCTTACCTTGCAAGGTCCTCATGCTCGTCAGAGAGTTTTCACTTGACCTAGACCACATTTCATGGATCAGTGAACAAGAACTTAGTCTTAGATGCATGATTTTTTTTATTAGTTGTTAGTGGCTTTGTTAACTAGCTGTCAGTAACTGCGAGTACTCTCAGATCTGTACTTAGTGTCTTTTTGTTGTTTGGATGTACAAGTACCCGGCCACGTCCACTTGTATTTGTAGTATTTGTATTTTTATCCATCTGATGAGTTAAGCCTCTTTCAACTGATTTTTATTTTGCGGTCGTATATTGGTATGACGTTGGCGTCGTCGTCGTCCGAAGACACATTGGTTTTCGCACTCTAACTTTAGTTTAAGTAAATGGATCTCTATGAAATTTTACCATAAGGTTCAATACCACAAAAGAAAGGTTGGGATTGATTTTAGGGGTTATGGTACCAACAGTTAAGGAATTAGGGGCCAAAAAGGGGCCAAAAATAAGCATTTTTGTAACTTCCAGACATAACTTGTGTGTTAGTGTATGGATCTCTCTGACATTGTACCACAAGGTTCCATATCACAAAGGGAATGCTGGGATTGATTTTGGGGGGTAATTGCCTCAAAATTTTAGGAATTAGGGGCCAAAAAAGGGGCAAAAAACAAGCATTTTTCTAGTTTCATGACAATAACTTGTGTGTAGGTGTATGGATCTTTCTGAAATTGTACTACAAGGTTCCATATCACAAAGAGAAAGCTGGAATTGAGTTTGGGGGTAATTGCCCAAAACGTTAAGGAAAAAGGGGCCAAAAAGGGGCAAAAAATAAGCATTTTTCTAGTTTCCAGACAATAACTTGTGTTCAAGTGTATAGATCTCTCTGAAATTGTACTGCAAGGTACCATACCACTAAGGGAAGGCTGGGATTGATTTTGGGGGTAATTGCCTCAAATTTTAGGAATTAGGGGCCAAAAAGGGGCAAAAAACAAGCATTTTTCTAGTTTCAGGACAATAACTTGTGTGTAAGAGTATTGATCTTTATGAAATTGTACTACAAGGTTCCATATCACAAAGGGAAAGCTGGGTTTGAGTTTGGGGGTAATTGCCCTAAACGTTTAGGAATTTTGGGCCAAAAAGGGACCAAAAAACAAGCATTTTTCTAGTTTCCAGACAATAACTTGTGTTCAAGTGTATGAATCTCTCTGAAATTGTACTGCAAGGTACCATACAACAAAAGGAAGGCTGTTATTGAGTTTTGGGGTGATGAATCATAAGGGGGTTCAAAAAATTTTGGGGGGGGGATTTTTTTCCCCTTTTTTTCCTTTTTTTTTCTTTAAAATTTTCCATTTTAAATTGGTTATTTCTGATTTATATATAAAAGCAAATAATAATGATATGGTTTGAATAGGTAAATTAAAATTTTTTAAGTTCTTAGACCACATTCATTCTGTGTCAGAAACCTATGCTGTGTCAAATATTTAATCACAATCCAAATTCAGAGCTGTATCAAGCTTGAATGTTGTGTCCATACTTGCCCCAACTGTTCAGGGTTCGACCTCTGCGGTCGTATCAAGCTGCGCCCCAGCGGAGCATTTTATTATTGTTCGTTCTTATGTTGTACTGTTACACCACCGTCCCAGGATAGGGGGAGGGTTTGGATCCCACTAACATGTTTAATCCCGCCACATTCTGTATGTATGTGCCTGTCCCAAGTCAGGAGCCTGTAATTCAGTGGTTGTCGTTTGTTTATGTGTTACATATTTGTTTTTAGTTCATTTTTTTTACATAAATTAGGCCGTTAGTTTTTCGTTTGAACTGTTTTACATTGTCATTTCGGGGCCTTTTATAGCTGACTGTGCGGTATGGGCTTTGCTCATTGTTGAAGGCCGTACGGTGACCTATAGTTGTTAATTTCTGTGTCATTTGGTCTCTTGTGGAGAGTTGTTGTCTCATTGGCAATCATACCACATCTTCTTTTTTATATTTAAGTTTAAGTTTTGGTGGTCAAGTCCAAATCTCAGATACTATTAGCAATAGGTCTAGTATATTCGGTGTATGGAAGGACTGTAAGGTGTACATGACCAACTGGCAGGTGTCATCTGACCTTGACTTCATTTTCATGGGTCAGTGGTTATAGTTAAGTTTTTGTGTTTTGGTCTGTTTTTCTTATACTGTATGCAATAGGTCTACTATATTTGGTGTATGGAATGATTGTAAGGTGTACATGTCTAGCTGGCAGGTGTCATCTGACCATGACCTCATTTTCATGGTTCAGTAGTCAAAGTTAAATTTTGAGTTTTGGTCTTTTTTTCCAATACTAAATGCAATAGGTCAACTATATTTGGTGTATGGAAACATTTTATGATGTACATGTCAGTCCCGCAGGTTTAATTTGACCTTGACCTTATTTTCACGGTTCATTGCTCAGTGTTAAGTTTTTGTGTTTTGGTCTGTTTTTCTTAATCTATAAGCAATAGGTCAACTATATGTGTTGTATGGAAGGATTGTAAGCTGTACATGTCTGCCTGGCATGGTTCATCTGACCTTCACCTCATTTCCATGGTTCATTGGTCAATGTTTAGTTTTCTTGGTTAAGTCTGCTTTTTAGAAACTATAAGCAATACAGGTAGGTCAACTGAATTTAGTAATTTGAATGATTGTAAGGTGTACATATATTTTTTGTCAAGTTTATATGACCTTGAATTCATTTTCTTGGATCATGTTGAGTTTATGTGATAGTTGTAGTAAAGCTTTATATTTAGGACTATCAACATGATATCAATGATTAGTAAAGAAGGCGCAACATTTCAGCGTGTGCACTCTTGTGTATACATTAAACACCACATTTACTGTTTTTACCCTGATTTTATGGATCACTGAACATCATGTCAAATTATAGTACATTCTTAGGTTAAAGTTTTAGGTTAAGGTACATAGCTTGCCATGAAGTTGAATTTCATACACATGTTCATTATGTAGTGAATTTTTAAATTCAGTGCCAAACTAAGATTTTGAGCCTGATTACATGATTGACTAGACATTGACACATGCTAGTGTTTGCCAGGCATTGTGTCCTGTACTAGGAATTTGTCCTGTACTAAGAACTTTAATAGTACTCGCTGAGTATGGAGTTTTTGTGAAAGTTTAATATTAGTGAGATTTTTGCATGACATCCTGTCAACTGCTTGTTGATCATGTTTATACATGTCTTAAAATTAATATCTGACACATTGGTGATTTGTGAACTTGGAAATAAGTTATTTGATAGAATAATAATGTTTTGAGATTATCAAAATAAAAAATATCCCATTTTTACTACATTGTGTATTAATGATTAAGTATATAAAAAAAGAAGATTTAGGATATATGTATAACCATATATAAAAATGAGACAGCAACCGAACAACACAAAAATAAGAAAAAAAAACCAATATAATTTTTTGTATCAATGTTATAATTTCCAACATGTCCAAAGAGTTCAATGTATTTTCTAATTGAAATAAAACACAAGTGGAACTCTTTCAGAACTTCAGAAGCTTAAAGAAGTGCTGTTTCTATTGTTGGCTTTCTGTATAATATATTGCAAATTCTTGTGAAAAATGGAATTTTATTGTAATTGCCTAAAGTTTTAACATTGATCTATATATATATAACTGGGGAAAATACCCTAATGTTATAAAGAAGAATACATAAATTGATTGTTATATAATATTAGAATAGAATTACAATCAGTAAAATCCATACGGCATAGCTATTTTTATTGAAAATCATATGTTCTTGCTACATGTATGCAAACAATTTTTTATTATCCATAACTTCGGATTTTATTGGTTCTTTTTCAGAAGGATTGAAATTCATCACTGAGAATAAAAGGAGAAAACAAAGAAACAAGACCAAAATAAATTCAAAGACAAAAGTCAGATCAGTTATTATTTTCATCACTCAGCCAATGAATTGAAGTTCTATTAAATATCTAAAGATATTAAAACCACAATAATGACAATGTTCTGTGCTGAATGGCAAAAAAGTGGACTATACATTACGATCACACAATGCTGGATGATAAGAAACTATTAATTTTTTGGGTGGAGGGATATCCTGAAAAAAAAATAGATTTATGTAAAAAGCTACTAGTATGTTAAGCCTTTTAATAGAGTTTTCATTGATTTCAAATGGGAAAAAATTGTGTTTCAAAAAAGTATTCTAGAATTCATAAATAAACATATATTGATACTTACATTATCTGCTTTGTTGTTTAAAAGTTTAGTTTTGAACAGTTATAGAACAATATAATTGCATTAACATTTCCAAGGAAAAAAAAGATATTCAACTAAAAAGATTCATCTTAAAACAATTTACTACCAAACAGAATTCATTGTAACATACACATTTATTTACTGTATATTTATAATTTGAATCATAGGATTTTATTTTGTCCCATGGGATATTAAAAATCCCATGGGATAATTATAGTCCCATGGGATTTTTTTTGTCCCATGGGACAACAAATATCCCATGGGACTACAATTATCCCATGGAATCCCAAAAAATCCTATGGGATTTAACCAAAATCCCATGGGATAATGGTCAATCCCATGGGATTTGCCCTATCCCATGGGATATTGAAAATCCCATGTTTTTCTAAATCAAATTACAAAATAGATATAATAATAACAGCAGAAAAGCAATGAATTTATTGAATCCCATGTAATTCCGCACATTTTGGTTATTTACACGACACTGTAGCTCTAAGGAGAGGCGGCGGCGGATTTGCAAATGAGTGTTTTGCAAATTAAAAGTGTCCAGTGTTTTTCGGTATTTGTTTTTCAATCAAACGATCTTAATAAAAAAAAAAAAAAAGATTATCGTCGTGAATGTTCGTGTAATAGTACTAATACTGACAGATGGACCTATGTCATCAGTTTTAATCATCTTAGATTACTAACCTTTCACAACTTAAAAGTAAAGTTCATGAATCCTTATTGTTCAGATTGATAAAGTCTTTTCCATTCGTCGACATTATCTCCGATTTAAATACTACTGATCTGATAACCGCTGTGCATACTTTAACGACAGGTCTAGTTTTCCTATCAGATAAGTAGTAACCTCCCTTGTAAATGTGATGTTGTAATCAATCGTTTAATTTTTACCATCTTTATATAATATTTCATTGTATTATTTAAATTTGTGATTCATTTGATATTTAAATATATAAAATTTTATATTTTATTATAGATAAAAACAAGGAAATTTGAAAGTCTTTGATTCATCAATCACCTTAGTTCAAATCATAAGTCAGGCGGTCTATTTTGTCTACATTAAGTAGAAAATACACCGGGGTATCAATGGCTATTTAAAAGGAAAGGAAAACATTGTACAACGTAAAACGAGAATTAAATAGAGCAAAATACAGAAATAGAATCCAAATGTAGATGCTTTTCTTGTTTAGTGAAATCAAAAACGAAAAATGAAAACACTTTTGATTTTCATTTTGGTTTTTGAAAAATCAATAACGAAAAATGAAAACACTTTCGTTTTTCGTTTTGGTTTTTGAGGAATCAAAAACGAAAAACGAAATCACTTTTGTTTTTCATTTTGGTTTTTGAGAAATCAAAAACGAAAAATGAAAACACTTTCGTTTTTTGTTTTTGATATTTCAAAACGAAAAACGAATGGACGCAAATATACACGGACCCATCTAAGTAACTATTTCATAATGTTCAAAGATTTGTTCGCGAACCATATTGGAAAGTGAACACAATTACTTTGAAATAAATATAAAAAAGGATATGTGCTATGATTGTCAATGAAACAACTATCCATCAGAGACCAAATGACGTAGATGTTAGCAACTATGATATGTCGCCGTACAGCCTTCATGAATGAGCAAAACCCATACCGCAGAGTAAGCTATAAAAGGTCCCGATATGACAAAATGCAGATACTTAAAACGAGAAAACTAACGGCCTGATTTATGTACAAAACAATTAACAAAAAACAAATATGATAGACAGCAACCAACGACAACCAATGAATTAAAGGTTCCTGACTTGGGACAGGCACATATAAAATGTGGCGGGGTTAAAACATGTTCCGAATGCTCAACCCTCTGGGACAGTGATAAAACAGCATAACATCAAAACAAACTATAAAAATCAGTTGAAAAAGGGTTAACTCATTGTCAACGGATCTAATCAAAGCCCAAAAAACAATTAACAACGTGAGTAAGACGCAAAGTACCGATTTAAGAGTGCTCACAGTTACTGAAAGCTAGTTCGAAGCCAATAACAACTGATACAAAAAACGTGTCTGTAGACTGTCTCATACACATGTGTTTACTTTGTACAATCTACAATGCTTTGATATGAAACTTACGTAAGATATAATTCAGTGGAATTTGCATGTCTTGAAATAAGCGCCTTACTTCGACATAAACCCGTGTTTTTTAATGTACATTCGTATGCTTTGAAGAAGATTTGTACTGACGTGCTGTGACATCTCGACCTATGCAAACTTTGATATCAGTAAAATATAAGATAAATTTAAAGAGATACGCCAATCCCATTATACAGCAACCAACCGACACAAATAATCAAGAGACCTCAGAAGTAATATGTGATTTAGGTTATCTGCATGCATTTACGTTTTGACATGTGTATTATACATTTTACATTATTTGCGTTCTTTGACAACACCCACTCTCGTTCTCACGGACTCGAGGACAAAAAAGTATGTACCCATCATATGTCAATAACTATAAGTTTGAAGGTTTAATGATGTATTTCTATTTCATGGAAATACTGTCACTGCAGTCATTGACCCTGTGTTAATGGAGATCTATAGATTTTAGATAAACATCGCTAACCTAATAATGAGAACCCATTACAGAGGGTCATCCCAAAGGTCCTATAATACACAAAGTAATATATATTTTGTCATTCCATAGGTCACTTAATTCTATTTCAATAGTAAGTCTCTATCTTTACTTTACAAAGCAATGAAAATAATAGACTAATAGTATGAATTTAGTTAGGACGATAAATAATGTATTATAGGCTTTCACTTATTGTTTTTTCTAATTTGGAATTTGAAATTGCCGTTTATTGCAAAGCAGTCCGAACATATACCACAGAGAGTAATTTATGTTCTTCGTTAAGCAATTTCGTCTATTATTTGTTTGGCGAAAGTATATAATCAAAGAGAGTTAAATGAAAGTTATATAACATTGTAAATGGAAAATTGTCTAATTTATTTTTATTTTTTGTTTTCATGCACCATTCATAATCAAAGTCATGTTTATTACCTAGCAGAACAATAAATTCTTCAAACAGATGTCTATTGCTTTATTTATAATTAAGATATATTTCTAAATGGATGCACTAAAGTTACTTTGGGGGTTTAGATTTCTTTCTTGCATAACAAAAAATAGTTGTTCACATTTTTTCTGTTGAAGAAAGAAAAAGCACGAGGATTCATAAAAGACTTGCTTTATCGACATACGTCATACATGTATATACATCTGTTCTAATACATTCTAAAATATACCGCTTTTAAAAATACCAATGAAGTTTCTTCTATTCATTCAAAGTCAACGTTACTCAATTTTGTTTTTTTGTTCACAGCTTTTTCTCTTATTCTCAATGTACAATGGAATGAGTTCCTAGCACCTGTAAAACATACATGATGTCCTTGCAGACAACACGTTGTTCAGGAATACTCAATGATACTCATGGCCAAAAGTTTCGACAGCCAAAAAAATGAAAAGTTTCATCATAGAAACCAAATTATTACAGATCCACGTAAAATCAAGTTTGATAGAAAATATGTTAGATATACCGGTATACTGACCACTTTTGGGAACAAACCGCGAAAGGTACAAACACATGTATTGATTTGTAACTTTCAATTGTAATCTTAAACGCTGTGTACAATCGCTTAAGTTTAGCGTGTATATGAAGAACACAATCTTAAAACATCTTGTGTCATGAGAAGTTTGTATTAGACAAAATGACAAAATAGTGTGAAGAAGCCATAGTGAGCGAGAAAGGTAGTCTAATTGTCTTGGTTGACGTGCCCCTCCCCTCCCTAGCTCCGACAATAAAGTATGGGAAAGTATAATGATAATGTGCTGCCCCTTAAATTTTATCTGTGCATATACATGCACGTATATATGCGTTCATTGGCAAACATACCAATCGGATTGGCCAATCTCAAAAACTCGATTAATAAACCTTAATTTAGACTCAATCCCAAATTGAAAGACGTTTCCCTTGGATTTTAAGCATAAAAAGGTAACGCGGCGGCTAAGATAAAGATTTTTTGAATGATTTCAATATATGGCAATTTTCAAAAGTTTTTGACATTACCTGACCTTCACACTACCAAAGCTTCATAACGGAATAAAGGACATGGTGTATAGTATCACGAGTCTTCATTACACCACATCCATATTCTCAAGTCCGTAAATTTTGTTCGTCTGGTAAGTCCGTTCAATTCGTTATAACAACATTAAATAAGTGGACTTACAGGATGAACGAAATTATCGGCCAGCATCGTACACGGACTTGACGAAGTAAAACAAACCGGTGCTTTTATAACTGTTCTTCATTTCAAAGTCACAGTGAAAAAGCAATGGAAAAAAATCACACCCCGATGCAACTGCTTTATACTTAACCGACACGGCGATGACGCGCCATTGGTCGATTTTAATGTGCAAGCTCAGCAGATAAAAGTCTCTTTAATTTAACTCCGTGTCGACAAGTCTTTTCCCTTATTCCTAAATGTCGTGTGCTTTACTGAGAAACAGCTAATACAATTTTAAAGTCGGTGATTCAATCCCGAACCTCCCACAAGTGATTCATTATCAAACTACCCAAGTACCTCTGATTGGTAAATGAATAGAATTTCACGGGTTTGAAGTATATTGCAAGTAATTGCTGTACGAATATTTTTATTTAAATTGCTTCAATAGATAGTTTTATTTTTTAACATTTAAAGTTAATATTCATTTATCCTCCCGTCTCTCATAAAAGATTGAAAAAGAAGATCCTGACTGTCTGCTCTACCCTTCAATAACAGGTCATGGTTAGTTGCTCTACCCTCCAATAATAGGTCCGCATTATTTATTCCCGTCTCCTTCAGTAAAAACTCCTCCTTGCTTAATCCAGATTCCTTCAGCAGCAATTCAATATCTTCAAACTCTTCTTGTACCTCGGTGTTCCCAACCACATGTTTTTCAT